AATTATTGTCAATAGAGAGACTTGATTTTGTTCATTCACTCATTTATTCATTCGTCATTAGTCCATAGCCACCCAATTTAACCAAGTATCTTCTAAAATTCTAAAACAATTAAAACAATTCAAAATACATTAAAATAATAAAAACATCCACAAAATAAATAGCAGCCATGATGGCTAATCAACTTATAATTAAGCCAAGTACTTATTGCTTTTCTTAAATTGAACCACTATCAATGTCACTAAAAAGAGTGCTGGCACTTTTTTGGAAAGATGATTTAAGAATACCTTTGTTCTGCTTTCTTTTCTTAACTAGTGGAGGAAGTGGCAATTCATATTCCTTATCTTTGAATATTGATAGAAACTGTTCTTGTTGATTGTCAGGTGACCCAATTTAATTGTCTGTAGCCCTCAGGCAGTGGTTCATCAAACATGGAGCTGGCTGCTCATTGTCGATGTCCTTATATGAGTCTGGATTCAACATGAAACCAACTACCAGTTTCCTCCCCCTCTTCACTGCCATAATGATGTGGGAAGGACTATGGAGAAATGAGTCAGTCAGAATTGAAGAAGCATCTTGGATGAGAAGCGAGACATCTTCAAGAAAAAAACAAAGACTTTGGAAAAAACACCTTTGGGACAACTTTAGAAAGGAGGCGGAAAGATTCTGCCTAGGGGAATGGTCAAATAAGAGGGGCAGCCCACAGCTGCATGATGGGCTAAGAAGCTCCCAAATTTCCCAGGCTATAATGGAGACAGTGGGAAATTTGTATTTTAAGACTTGCAAGATGTTCTTAATGTAGCCTTACAATAAAGTAGAATTAGCTCATTTGCTTGTGTTTTTTGTCTGGTCTATAGGAAGATTAACAGAATTCTAGCTAGTACTTCTGGAGGGCTATTTACTTCTGAAGTCATCATTTGTTTCCATGCTCAGTAATCTACAATATAGCTGTATAATACAGGAACATTTTTTTGTTCTTTTGTAAGCAAAGTTTAATTCAAGTCAAATGATGAGTTCATGCACATATCCATATGGTCATGTTGCAACAATATAGAAGTAGTCTGCCATTTCCATATTTCATCATGTATTTTGAACCCCTCCCTATATCCCTTAGATTTTCTAGAGGTCTTCCATCTAAGTACTAATTAGATCTTACTCTGTTTGATTGTATGGATCAGTCAAAGTCAGCTAGGTGCTGCCACCTGCTGTAGGTTCACATATTTAAGTAAAGTATTACATATGTATATGCATCTAGTTACATTCTCTCTCTTCTCTCACTATGATTCATATTGATGAGAACTTGGGGAAGTTTGCTGTGATATATTTGTAATGGCTTTTTATTTTGCCGTTAAGGAACATACATCAGAAATATTATGGGTTAAATGTTTATCTGGTTTAAACATTCAGGCACCTTCTTTTGAAACATTGCTTCCTGCTTTTTTGCTGTATAGTTCATTATCTTTTTAACACAAAATGAATGAATGGTAATCTCTTACTCATGTCCACAATTGTAAGCCTGTAATATGTAAATCATGGTGATTGGTATGTTATGCAGTTCCTTTATTAGATATATCATGGTTTGTTTGTTTCAAAATACTTAATTGGTTGGCCATCTTGTATCCAGCCATGGGTACAAGACTATACAATTGGTTAACCGTAGCTCAGTATAATAAACCAGGTCATAATAAGAAGGTCATTTGCTTAAGATTCCATGTTTCTGAAGATCAGTAATTTGTCTCTAGCAGATCCAGCTTCCTCACAACCGGTAACTACTTATTCTTTTTTTGGTGTAGAGCTGATTTCAACAGTACTTAGAGACAAGAGAAAGGGTTTACATATAAGAAGGCAGAGGCATCTTCTCACTTTTGTCCCTCTATACACCAAAAGAGCAATATGATCATAACAAAGAAGAACAGTAACAGACCCAATGGGTTTATAGTGAATTTCCAGTCAAACATGCAGCAGAGGTGTGCCATTTGCAGCTGCAGAATCACATCTGCTCTTTGAGACCCTTTCAAATATAAACTTTCCATTATTTGGAGGGGAAAACAAAATTTCCATTTTTATTTTAATTTCCCAAACCTTCTTAGACAGGAAATACTTGAATGTAATACTAAACACTTAAAAACATATATAAAAATTATTTCAAAAAGGTGAGATGAATTTCAGTAGAAGCCTTAGCATTTCTCATGGATTAATAGAGGTGATGTCTTTTTATCACAATATATGACAATAAAATTATTATGCAGTGAAAGAATATTTAGATCTAACATGGGTTTTATTTGGGACTATACTAATATAAGAACACTTTTAGTAAGCGCTAAAATGGAACTTTAAATTAATTCTGATAATACTTTGTCATATTACTATTTAAAATTAATTGTGTAGATATATGCATGTGTTTTCACTAAATGTGTCATAACTTCCAGCATCTTATGAACAATATCAAAGTAGTTAATAATCAGGGCATGACAACAAATAATTAAAAAACTTTTTTTCAGTTACATAAAGTATTTGAGAATCAGATGGTTATATTGTTAATAATTTTCAGACATTTTACTTAGAGCTAAATTTCTTCTTTTGCTTACAGGAATGATTGCCTTCCTTCATTCCAGTATGAAAAAAATTAAGTAACAAAAATGATTTAAAAGCTCTACTAGTTAAGAAGCATAATTTGCAATACTGAATTAGCTGGCTATAGTTGACCTCTTTGTGTCCAGAGCCCTATCAAAATAAATAAGTTAAGTACATTTAAAAAGATGAAAGATATTTTCATCCATAAACCACAATTAGACATATTGAATTCACTTAGTTGTATTAATAAGGAATCAGAAGTCAATGCTTCACAAGCGTTGATGTCACAATACATGCAACAGTTAAGTCAATGCCTTTAGACAGCTGAGGGAAGAGAAAAAGGAAATCCTGGAGCAAGATCCACTTAGGAAACTGGCTTTATCTACACATGTAAAGTTCAATTCCTGTCAGACTGTGTTTCTTCCATTTCTGCCTGGACACTGGCTGTTGGCTTGTATAGGCACTGTGGAAAAATGAGAGATTTGGCTTGCTCACTGTTTAACAACCTCTTTGCAGAAATCAAACAGAACCAACTAAATTACTCTCCTGGTCTGAACATTTGAGTCTGTGTAAGCTTAAAATGATCTCAATTCAAAATATTTTATGCACTGCTCCTTGAATTATCCCATGATACCCTACAGTTTATTTATGTTCATTATCTAGTAGTTCTGTCTCATGAACCTAAAAGCAACCATGTGTACTCTCCATCTCTCTACGACTATACATTCTCATCAAATCTTTCCCATAGGACATTACTTCATCCATCTTGTAAAGAATGTGATCATGCAGTTTAGAGTTAAAAGGGCTATTAGCCTATGGAGTCCACCTACTTTTCTCAGTGTAGTAATCCAGATTAAAAAATCCATGACAAATAACTATCTTGCCTCTGCCTGAAATTTATGTGAAAAAAAATATCTAAGGTGCCAAGATTATATGGTTATATATATTTGCTGCAACTGACTAACAAGGCAACCTGCCTTGGAAATTTGTAAAAGAAGTTCAGAGAAAATAAACATCCTACTACTATCCCACTACGTCTATAGTATTATTACAAGAAAAATATTAACCTTATTATACTACCCATTGCAGTTCTGTGCTGGCTTTGAGTTTGCCATCTCCTCCTTACATTTATTTCCTCTCTAATATGTCAGAGATCTATGTCATGATTATGAGTTAAATATATATATAATTCTGTTGCACCAGTTTTATACACCTGATATATTCATAATGTATTCTGAATAGTCTCTGCTCTTGTTTTATTAGCAGTGGCTAAGATGTTGAAAATTGACTGCATGTGAAATGCAAGTCCTTCAAGGCCCTAACTTTAAAAGCCAAAAACCAGCTATTTTCCTTTCTGTGCATCAATGTTCAGTGATGTGCATGAAAGGCTTAATACTTAGCAAGGCATAGCAAATCAAGAAAATAAAATATTATAGCTGAACATTTAAAACGGGCTTGTTTCATAGATGAGTAACTTAAATATGCTAAGAATTGGTAGCATTTGCAAGAAGTCTAGAAAATTATCTGTTTCTATATCTTATATTATTCTGTTACTTTTATATAATTGATACAGTTCTAACCTATTTTAACATATCCTGTAATCTGAGCAATGGCAATTTGAATGTGTGGGAAGGCTTTCTGGTATTTGAGGAATGTGTCATTACTGGTTTGTGGATATCTTTAACTTTCCCTACAATGTAGAGGAGAAGGAAGTATCATCCCCTACATTTTAGAGAAGGAAGGAAGGAGGGAGGAGGAAGTGAGGGAGGAAAGGAAGGAAGGAAACACACAGTTTCTTCCATGTTCAGTTTCTAATATGTCAGTACATTGTAAATTTTAGCTTCATTCTGACACTTCATAAATAGGAATGTCTGACCATTCATTTACAAAGTAAAGTGCTGTTTACACAATTTAAATTACTCTCTTATCATATATTGCCATTTCATGTTAAACAGATACACAAACTATTTTATAGTCATATTTCAGATCCCCCCATAATACTTATAGAGACATTATGAAAATCAAATGTTTCTTTCCAATTCCCCAAACTTCCCCATCAACTATAGAAAACAATAGATGAAGGTTTTTATTTTTATTTTTTTAAATAGCAAACCATCTTAAGATAGTTCTATTCCATGTTTTTATCCCAAGGAGCAGAAAATTACCTAAGTGACAATGCCAGAAAGCACAGATTTATTACTTTTTTAATCTTTTGTTTGTGCTGCCAATGCATAAAAAAAATAAAATTTTGCAATTTTGAGAAGAGAATAATGTACTTTTTTATTAAAATAGAAATGACACACTGCTGCATATCTAGCATGATTTAGTGTTTTTATTAGTTATAAGTGTTTTAATACCATACTAACTATTGTATCCTCCCTTAAGGCTGTGATTGTTCTCACATGCTAGAAACAAACTGATAATTCAGAGGAAAAAATAAGTATTTCTTGGTTGCTTGTTAACAGCAGAATAGCAATCCGTCACCACAGGGTTACCACACTGGGCATCGTTATCTTTGGATCCTTATCAATTTCACTATATGGGTAAGTATTATTGCTATGTACCACAACTCCTTTGGTGTTATTGCTTAATTTTAATTGTGATTGTAAAATGTGAAAAATGTGGATATTTAAACAACAATTAAACACCTGCTATACTTGTTATGCATTGGCATTTAAAGATATACTGAGCGTTTAAAAATTGCTGATTCATATATGATACTGAACAAAATAAGTAGGGGGAGAACTGTTTTGACACCCACATTTGTATAAGGTAATAGCTGTAGAGAAGTTTAATTGTGTCTAATATTTGCTCCCAACTTCTGAAGTAGACATTTCCAAAGGCACATTTTTACTTCATGCTGTTTTTTTAGTTCAGCTTCAGATACGGTGCCAGTTTCCTATAGTTCCCAATAATCCTTCTCTCATCTGTGTTTGTCCCACTGACATTGTGTTAATGGAAAGCCTTGCACTGGGAAACACCTGCCCAGCATTAACAAGATGTTAATGGGAAAAACATTGGAAAGTCAAGTTACTGAGAACAAAAATGAATAAATTTGGAGAAGGAGGAAATTTCAATTGATTCCTTGTCAAAGTTCTTTAAGTTTGGAGTCCAAATTGATTTTAAAGGTGCAGAAACATATTTAGTATATATAAACCTCCTATAAAATATTATGGATGACAACAGCTTACATACCAGAAATGCTTTGGCAGAAAAAAAATCTCCAATAACTGGATGTTGCCTGTTGTTTTGGGGCAATATCAAATAAAATATTTTCTATCTAAAGTCCTCTAGATGTATTGGGACTTCAGATAGGTCCCTGAATTCTTGGCCAGCATGGCTAAAGGGTCATGCAAATGGGGATGACTGCTATGACTTACTATGCCCCAGAAGTGACCTAGCAGCATGTAATTCTGTAAGCTTGCATATCAGTGCACATGAAATTGCCTTTGATCATAACAGACTGTTCTTCAGGATTCAAGGAGGCCCTTAGCCAAAAGGGAGGGGAAGGTAATATAATTCTATGCTGTCTTCAGAGTGTTACTATCTACCCACCTTCTCTAAGGTATGGTTTTACTGATTCTACCTGTGGTAATACCTTTTCATTTTATTGGAATTAACAAAGAGACCATAAAGAATTCATAATAAAGTTTTAGGCAACTCCATATACTTATTGTCAGTCTGAATTATTCCATCAAATGGCTGATGATAGGAAAGGGACTACTATTCTTCTATGAAATGCTTCCCTATTTCTCAGTTTGAGCCAGGTGGGAGTCTGCTTATACTTCAGACATTATATACCTATTATGCCTCTTTCTTCTGTAGTCTATCTGGAAACTAACAATATTTGCTCTTGACATCTTTCTCTGCAGCATTTCCTTTGATTATTCTAATTATCAGATCCTGTTCAGGATTCTTCATTCTGACTCAGAGCAGTTTCTCCTAATTTTTCCAGAGTGTGTTTTAAGTTTGGATTGCTCCAAAATGTTTCCTTTTCTAAATCCCCATTAAAATTCACTAGACAAGTAATTTTGATACCAAGTTGATATAACATTGTTAAATATGTTAACATTATGACTTCAACTGAGAAATAATGAATATATATTTAAAATGCCTATTAGTTGTATCAAATATGAAGCTAGCTTCATCCAAAACCAGATTATATAAGCCAAGGGCTGAGTGAATAAAAAGCTGGGAAAGATGTCTGAAGGAATATCTGAATTGTAGTTTATATGGGATATCCTATTATTGCAGATTACAAGTCCAGAAAACATTTCATCTATGCATTTTTAATTTCATTAAATATAATATGTTAACATCCACTTTAACATCCATAACATGATCAGGTGAATGTTTTTCTGTTGTTTATGATATTTCATGCATAATAAACTGATCTGAAATCTTGCTAATAAAAATCATATACACATACCTTTATCTGATGATGAGACTTTAATGTGCAAGGCTAAGGGGTTACTTGTTTTAGCCTTTCTAAGTAATGGGGAAATAAAAAGAACTATGCTTCCATTATAGAGATGCATTAACTTTGAATAAGAAAATAGGATCTTATTTTTAGAGTTTCCAGATTTGTTGGCTAATGGAGTTTGATGCTTAAAATCAAATTTAAAAGTATAATATGGCTGCTTTATAGAATATATTGGAAAGTTAAAAAACCTCAAATATCAGTGATGTCTTGTATTGTTTTGAAAACACCAAGCAAACAAGAGGAAATTCAGGGCATCTCCTAAATCCTCAGTATGGTCACTGAAAGAGAAGATAAAAATTATAATAAATAAATGGGCCATGATCAGATGCCATCAATCCCCAAACTTGCCCCATCTTAAGGAAGAATAGAATAGAATAGAATAGAATAGAATAGAATAGAATAGAATAGAATAGAATAGAATAGAATAGAAGTATGATTGGACACACAAGGAATTTTTTTTATTATCACTTTGAATGTACACTAATTGGCATACATTAAAATGAAACTTTGTGCATAGAGCTCTCAAAGGGTCACTACCACCAATATACACTAATAAACATGAAATAATAATAAGTAAATACAAAATTACGTATATACCCACATATATTATTTGTAGAAACACCACAGTCTAGTTTGGATGTATACATCTCCATGGCAAGAAAAACTAATCTTGTGAGTTTAGCAGATGGATGGAATAGGGAACAAAGCTCTTATAGAATCTGGTAGTCATGCTAGAAATACTTTGAAACCTCCTCCCAGAGAAATAGAAACAGACCATAAAATGAGTATGTGGGGTCTCTACCAATAATTTGAGCTCTAAGCATATAGTGCTTATAGAGAATATTCCAAAAAGCAGGAAGTGAGCTTCTTATAATCTTCTTTGCTATCCTTACCACTCACTGGACTTTCTATCTAAGGCATTGCTGCCACCAAACCAAACAGTGATGCAGTTTGTTAAAACCCTCTCAATTGTCTCTCTGTTAACAAGTGGCCAGGACAGAAGGAGAAAGATGTGCTCTCCTAATCTGACACAGGAAATGCAGATGCTGATTTGCATGCTTCACAAGGATGGCATGTGGAGAGACAGTTCAGATTATTAGTTATCTGCATCCCCAGATACTTAATAATGTTGACCACCTCTATAGCTGCATCCTTATACTGAGTGGAGTATGTATGCTGGCTCTTTATAAAATCTACAATTTTTCCTTTGTTTTATTCACGTTTAGAAACAGGTTACTTTTAAAGGAAGGAAGGAAGGAAGGAAGGAAGGAAGGAAGGACATATCTTTTTCTACAGCATTTCCTTTCACTCAAAAGTTGCCTGACTGACAAAAATAAGGGCTTATCTAATCCACACAAAGGACTTGTGACTGGCATAAATGCTGCAAGCTCCCCTCCTCTCATTTTAATTTTCTCTGGTGTGGCAGGGGATGGTAATCAGGAGAGATGCAGTCTGACAATTTAAACATACATAACAATTAGAATATAATAGATGCCTTAATTACTAAATTGATAGATTTTATACTGTTAATATTTGCTATTGCCATGTGGGTTCTGCATGTGTCAGTAAACAGCATGTATCTCTGAATCTGTGAGATAAAAGCAATAATGTGCTAACTTGCAAGGCAATATTAGAGATGCTAGCTCTTGAGGGGTTAAACCTGGCTTTTGGTCTCAGGGGTGGTATATTAACTGATATGTGCCAAATACTGATTGATATTGTGTTTGAATTAGTGTGAGCCATTTAAAAAATAAAAAGCAAAGTATAAATTGATGTATGGATGTGGAAGGAACTGAAAGATATGTGAAAGTATAGAATATAATATTGGTGAAACTAATTTTAATTGATTCCCTTTTTCTTCTTCATCTCCTGGCTTTAATTTCTTCAGCTCATTATGTCTTACACTTTTTCTGTACTTTCTTATCATTGCTTCCTCAATGGAAGTGGAAAACTGCACATGTGCTATTTACGTTGTACACCATTATATATAATGTGTGATATCATTCCAAAAAAGGCAATTATGTAACCATTCAAAACTTCAAATAAAATTTGTCAATTGGGTGAATGTGAAGCCTATGCATATAATATGGGCCAGATCTATTAAAATTCTGTTTTGGCTTGACATTTGTAAGATAGATATGTAGGTACCCTAAACACTACAATACCCAAATGAAGAATCGTATCATATAAACCCATATATTTTGCTCCTTTGTACTTGTGTTGCAATGTTGCACACAATACATAGAGGATGGAATTTGCATTGCCATATAAAGCACATTTTGATACTCCCTCCCATCAATCTCATCCCTATAGTTGCCTATGGGTCATACAGTTTAAGGATACTATAATTTTGAATTATAGACAAAAAAATGTAAACTTGACATCCAGAAAGAACTATGGATTATCAAGCATACCTTCATTATTGAAAAACTAAAACTATATTATGCTTTTTATCTATTAAAGTATAATTTGTTTCCTCTCTCTGTATCATATGGTTATTATATCACATACAATATATGCATATATCTATGCAATCATAGGTGCGTTATTTTATCTATAGAAATACAGAGATATGTTGGAATGAAAAAAGTGTTTATATATTACATGTGATTACTATATTACAATATTACTATGAGACTTTCTGTAAACAAGAAAATAAAATTGGACATTATGTCACCCTTAATAATAAGACTTTCAAATGTTAAAGTACTTAGTATTGTATTGACTAGCCTTTCTTAATCAAATTTATTGTGTTGCCTTTCTCAAGTAGCTGTGAAAAAAAAATATTTGTCTCCTGTTCCATCATGGCAGCTGCAGTAGTAGCAAATTCACTGGAAAATATTGCTTTCCTCCTATTTCATGCTGGGGGCAGCAAAGAGAAAGTTGACCTCTTTCTCTCCTCACACCTGATGCCCGGAATGCTGCTGTGACAATTTTCCAGAACTCCTGGCTCACATTATAATTCATAATGATTATATGAATTAAAGGTGTCTTGGGAAGCTAACATTTTCCAGGGCTTCTGGCTCACCCTGGTGCAGAAAGAGAGATATTCAATCGGCT